GTTTGGTCTACACCCTTTTTGCTTCATGGTACGTTTGTTTGACCCCCAATTTTTCTCTTATCTTGGTCTCACCTTCTCGCCTGCGGACTCCGATGTCCCGTAACTCATCTCTCGAGTCCCCAAGACTTTGTTAAGTGAGTGTCCACTGGGAATAGATTATTATACAAAGCAAATTTGGGTAAAATATTTCTCTGACGATCTTAGGCACAAAGCTGAATCTCGGCAAGACTGTTTGCATACTTATTTTATTTGATTATTTCTTTGATTCTTGGGACTTTATTTTTTAAGTGTTTTTTATTTTTAGTTTTGAGTGTGTGACAGTCAATCCTAGCAATGTTACTTTGGAGTCTCTTATTTTCCTAGTGGAAGGGTGATTTCACTGTGCCAGACCTAATATTACTCAAAAAATATCTCTGCAATATAATGAACTAGCTATCTAATAATAAAAAGTAACCCATGCCACCTATTTTTTTAAATTGTATAGTGAGAATACACCAGAGGGACGCAGAATGACCAAACTTGATCAGATTCTCTTGAATGGAAACAACATCACAATGGTATGAAATGTACAACTGTACTCACTCAACTGAGGTTTTTAACAGACCTTATTATTAACAAGGTGTATTGAGTGTTGTTAGGGAAGTGATAACCAAAGTGACTACTCTGGTTACTCCAGGGCAGATTGCAGACGCAGATCCAGGAATTCTATAATGGGGGGTGTAGGTGGTCCAAACATGCGACACTGCAGGTTAACTTGTAAGCCATAACCTTTCCATTCCACTTGGCCCCTACAAATTAGTTTTTAGTAATGTGCAAGTACGTCACTAGATCCTTAGAGTGTATTATGTGTTATGATCCTTATATGGCAAGGAAAACACCAGGAGATGGAGCTGAGTTGCAATAAGCGCGGACATTCAAATCCAACTGAACTACAACTTAACATAATTTCGTCACTGATTGATGTCAGTTTCACCACAGATTGCCTAAGATAGTGGTATAATGACATTGCCTGGCCTATAAAATTATTACTAATATTAATATTATTAATATTGATTTACTTTTTTTACTTTTGTAAATTTCCTTTATTTGCTGTGCAGTAGTGGAGATTGTCCATCAAGTTTGAGAGTCCAGGATCTTGATTCCAGCCTATTAAACTAATAATTATTCTCAACATAACTTTAAAAAAAGTAGACTATGAATGGTCTAATAATTTACGATCTGGTGGAAGAGAAATAATTATTATTTATAAGCAAAGATTAGTCAGTACTTTTTTTTCTTTTCTTTGCATTTCAGCTCATTCCTGGTGGAGAGTATCTTTTGATTCAGTTATTACTGTTATTAACATAAACTTAATTCATACAAGCATTCCTAACTAATCCTTCAATCTTTTTCCATGAGTCTTCCTAGAATTTTGGGTTTTGATCGTAATTTTGAGGGACTGCCAGGCTCCTTTGTCTTCTCACAACAAAATTCTTGGTCCCTTCCCACAAAATTGCTGCTCTCCATTACCGAAAACAGTTTCCAAAACTATTATTCATTCTTTTACCTGTAGAACTGTTGGTATCTCGAGACTGACTTCCCCTGACAGCAAAGGGGAAGGGAGGTAGTGTCAGGTGAACTAACCCTCTACAGCCAGGGCAGTTTGAAAAAGTCAGGCCGGACTCAACTGTCAAATTTTGTTTGTTGGTGGGGGGGGGGGGGGGGGGCCCGGTTTCAGAAACAAATTTTAGCTTGGTAAAATAGTTGGGTAAAAAAATTGGGAAAAGCAGGGGTGAAAAACTTTTTTGGGCCCCCAAACAGACACGCACAGTGGGGGGAGGGTGTTTTAATTTTTTTTTTTTTCTGGAGAAGTTGTTGGCTGCCGAGGCTCTGCCCCCCCGACAGAAAGGGGGGGGGGAGGGAGTTGAGAGTGAACACCCCCCCTACAGCCGGGGGTTTTTAAAAAAGGCGGGGCGGACTAAATTTGTTATTTTTTTTTGGGGGGGGGGGGGGGGGGGGGTAGCCTGTGTCACAGACATAATTTAAGCTTGGATAATAGCTTGGATAATAACATTGGTAAAGCAGTGCTGAGATACATTTTCTGGGCCCCCAACAGACTAGACGAATTGCTGGAAGTGCGTTTCAAATTTCCCTTCATGCTGATTGGCAAATTGACAATGGCTTTTTTAACAGGCCAATCCCTTAGCACATACACCTGTATACTCAAATCCTCGTACACAGGTTGGTGCCTAGAACAAGGATTTCAGCGCTGTTTCGCAGATGGACTTAACCAGAGTTCATTTTCACCTGTGGGGCAGGCTAGGAGTGGGGATGGACTTTACATGTACTCTAAAGCTTGTCAATAATGTTCAAGTGAGCTAAAGTGATTTACAAGAGATTATGTAGCAAGTTCAGGGACTGTACCATCATCTTCAGAGAGTTTTCACTTTTGGAATTACAGCCTTGGTCTTGCACACTTGTGGACAGCCAATTTTGAGAAAGTCCCTGATACAGTTTTTAATTGTCAGAGTTATTAATAATTACATTTTGCCTCTGTTCATCATGGAGTCTCTCCACTAGTAGTTCAGTTTGATCTAAAACTCAGAGGATCTTGAGTTTGAATCTCATCTGGAGCTCACAATTTTTTAAGCTTTCTCATGTTAGATTTCCCTTTTTACTTTCATGGGTTTCATTTCTAAAAACTGATATAATTCCTTAACAATAGTTTAGGGGACCAGAAGTCTGATGATCTTGGCTGCCACAAAGGGAAGATCAAAAGGAGTCAAAAGAGCTACTACCCTTGTACATACATCACTTTGCACTTTTCATTGTAAACAGTGCAGGAAAAGACACCTGTATTCTGTAATGTGAAAATACAGTGTACATACAACTCAAACTGTCAAAGAATTTATTAAACTAATGTTCATAAGGAACCTTTTTGAAAACAAATAACTGTCATACTGTATTGAGCATTTATATTATTATTTGTTATTGTTGTTGTTATTGGTAAATATTGTTATTTTGAAAGGGGCTTGATTGCTGAGCTGATGTGCATAATACAATGACTGAGGGATATCATTTAATTGGATGATGGATTAATCACATAACATCCCTTACCCTAATCACAGTGAGAACTGCCAGGATTAAATGGACCAATGAAAATAAAAAGAATAGAGGTCCTGATTAACCCCCATTACTAAATAAATATTTTATTTCAGATGTTCAGGTAAAATCAAACCTGTAAATCGTGAAAACTTTCCATCTCTTATGAAATGTTTCCCTTTATAATAGACATCAAGTTTTAATGTTTATTCTACCAGTTATTTTCAAACTTTATCCTCTTGTAATGCACTTTGTTTTTTCCCCTCTTGTCGCTCAGCTTTCAGCACTTTACTTCTTTCCTGTTCACTGTTAAGAATCTTCGTCAACCTTGACTCCATATTTCCTAGAGTGACTGCTGAAATTTCTGCTAGCAGATTAACATCAGTGATCCAGAAATGCTTGAGATCTTTGCACTGAAGTGCATCTCTTAGAAAGCCCACAAACCCAGTAAACTTCTCTGCAAGTTGCTCCCTCTTCCACTCAGTGGTTGTTTGGTTGTACCACAGTAGTGCAGTTTTAACATGAAAAGAGGATAGATGGGAAAAGGTTGGTTCCCGTCTGAGAACTGTGTTGGTTATCTTGAACAGGTCATGACGGCATCCTTGATCCTTATCCATGTCTTTTAGAAGAGACTTCTGCATCAGTGTGTATGACTTGACCCATGCTGTTTCGCTGTCAGTTCCAGCTGAAAATAAAATATGAGAACTGTTTTTTTCTTTCTGTGCTTTTCCTTTTCTTTTGGAATTCTGAGACTTTTTTATCAGTTAAGTCATGAACTTGTCATGGAAGGGAGTGTGTATCGCGGATGTTGAAACCTTTATGATAAACAATTATTAGTTTTATAATTTTAGGAGTTACAGATAAATTACCACAATATCATGAATTATATTATAATTCATGACATTGTGGTAATCATATTGTTAATATGAACTTGACATTGGTGTTCTGTATTCAACTGCTGTTCCAGGCTGATAGTAGGAACATTGCAAAAATGAGACAGCACATGTTCTGGGGAAGGGGGCAGCCCCAGCCTCACTCTTTACTATCTTGGAGCCTAGAACAGACTCTATACTCCCAGGTAACAACATGGTTACTGAAAGAAAAAAAATCATGACTATGCTTACAGCCGTGACCCTGGATTCATCTTTCAGTACCTGGGAGATTGCCTTGTTGTGATGGTGGAACAAAGTATTCATCGCTGCTGAGTGGAAATGTTGGTACAAGCTTTACTTCCAGTGTCTTGGTTTGGTCATTGATGATGACTTTAACACCAGTGTTGCAACTAGAAGCCTTCAAAGACATGGATGCAGCTCCTTTGGAGCTCAATTCTTGAACAGCAGAATTGACCAGTTTAAATAGCCATGACTTGAATTTCTTTGGCATCAAGAGGCCATCTTCACGTGAATACTCCTTGTAATTGTATGGGGAACCTTCCACTGCTTTGATGGTTGCACAACCAGGGTTCTCCACATTAATAGTAACAAGCCCTTTCTTTGCCTTCAAGATGACATGAATTACCACATCGTCCTCATCAGGACCAGTGATTTTCAGATTCTCATACAAGCTTCCTCCATAATCAGGCTTGCTTATTATCATAGGAGAGTTATCCTGGCAGTATTTGAGTACCCCTTTTGTCATATACTCTTCAATCATTTCTTTTGACCACTTGATTTCATCACTTAGAATGGTTCCTAGTTGGTTGAGGAATTTTCGCAGAAGCTGCAGTAAATCAGTTGAAGTTTGACACATGTTTGGCAGAGTTTGTTTCTGCTCTCCAGATGTGATTGCAGGACAGTTTTCTCTTGCCTTTCTTCCATTACTATCTAGCTGCACTGAAAACAAATGGAAATTCACACTTAGATAATAATTACATGCACATGCAGTTCAGCCTTAAATCTGGCTTCAGATATGAGCAATATAAGGTGACGCTTGTGTTGTTGAAAGGGTATGCATACGAAAGGACTCTAACAACTCTCTACTTTAATTGCGACTGAGAACCTCTTTCAGCGGTTATCGATCTCTTTGCCCTTTTTACCAAATACTTTATCAAACAATTTATTTTAATCAAGAGGGATTTGATAATAATGATATATTTCCTCATCTTTTTGAAACTGTATTAACCTTTCAAGACTCAATATCCATGTAGAAATGCTCCCAACTGATCTTCATACATTTCCTTATAAGAAATACTGAGACAATTTGACAAAAGATCAAAGCTTAATTTTTCCTTCTGATGATCATTTTAGTAATTCTCATAACCTACTCTCTTGACGATGTATAGATATTGTTAGGAGAAAATCAATGTTGGTCACTCTTGGAACTTAATAGTTACAATAATAATTATTCCCAGTTGCCAAATTAAAACAGTTAATAATAAAAATTAATCTGCCTTACTTTCACATTTAAGGACTTTACTTCTCTCCTTGTCATTGTCCAAAATTTTGCGCAGTCGATCAGCCATGTTTTCTAGTGCTTTATCCTGTATATTATCCAGCAAGTTCACTCCTTCCACCCAAAAGTGATCAAGGTTCTTCCTTGCCAGGGCTGTGTGCAATAATTCCATGTACTCAAGAAATCTCTCTCCCAGCTTATCTACACCCCACTTTAGTTTTGGATTGGAATTGTAGTGCAAGAAAACTGTCTTCAGATGGTAGCTGGTCAGTTTAGCAAAGGTAGTCTCTGAACGGATGAGGGTTTTAATGATTCTGAGAAGTTCATGCCTGCAACCGTGATCTTCCTTGTCCATATCCTGTAATCTTGCTTTCTCCCTCAGTGAAAACGACTGCCTCCAGAGAAGCTTTGAGTCACATGCTGGGGATATTTTCCCAGTGTATGATTTTGCAACGAAGTATTCTGTAGCACTAAGCTGAAAAGATGGAACCAGATCAGCTGACAATTTTTTTTCTGTTTCCTTGTCTGTGATATCTAACTGCACTGCCGGACCATGAGCTCGCACTTCAAGCTTTATAGGTAATGCAGGATCCTTTTCTTGGAGTTGATTTACAGCCTTTTGGACAAGGCCAAAAAACCAGCTGGCTCGTAGCTTCTCAGGCAGAATGTATCCTGCTGCATTAGCATACTTCCGCAGCTGGGAATCCTGTGATGCTTTGAGAAGCACAAACCCAGGGACACTAGCATCTTCTTGGGTTACTTCCTGTTTTGTTGTCTGTAGGATAACCATAACATCAACTTCATCTGCTGCTTCAGTCTTAAGCTTCTCATACAAGCTTCCTGTGTATTCTTGCTTACTAATTGGAAGGGATGATTCGCTGCAGATGCATGGCAAGATTTCCTTTTTGATGTAGTTGTCTACTAGACGTTTAGCTTGCTCTGTGTCTTCTTTGGTTATTTTCACGTGGTCTGCTGAGTAGCGCCGCAGTTGTTGTTTCAGCAAAACTGTATCACAGCCATTCTGTTTTGCTTGAAGCATTATAACAAAGCTGCAGAGAGAGAAAATAAATAGATCATCCTGTGGATAACCTCATTTCATTCAAGGGGGGAGGGGAGGGGAGCAGGGCAATGGGGCCAGTAAAACGAAACGCCGACAAGGTCAATCTCGTATATCTCTTGTAATATATGTAAAATTATTTTTTTCTCAGTTGATTTCGTATTGCCATCAGTTTCCAAGCCCTGATTATTCATAGGTCGGAGACAACACGGGAAGAACTGACCAAAAATATACCTCGCTACGAAACCGCACAGAACCTCACTTCTTCTGTACTTCTTCATGATCATCAGGACTGCTATACGCAGTGACTTGACAGAAATGTTAATGTTTGCTAGCTGTACTTACCAATAGATAAAGCAGAAACTGAAAGTAGCGTGCCATTCATGCTCGGGGAAGGCCCCTTCACTCGTATCCGTGTAATTCAATAAATATTATAATAGCAGCAGCTCAGAAATTTGAAATTAAAATGAGTAAATTTTGTATGATTTGTTCAGTACGAGCGGAAGTGCTTAAAATAACGTACAAAAGGAAAGAAAACGCTAACCTTTCACTTTCTGTTTTTGCTCTGTTAAGTTTGATTGAATTTCAGTAAATGCTTAGTTCAGCCGTTTTCTATTCAAAGTCTGCCTCTAAGTAAGATGGTCGATCAACCATGCTTCCCTGACAGTGCTTAAAGTGAGATTTTTTAACTGTGTAATCGAAAATTTACAAATCCAATTTTTTAAAATCTTTATAAAAACGTTTGAATTACAAGGTACAGTTTTAATATTTTAGTTCCAGCCGACCGGATACACATGCCAAGGCTTTTATTTCACGCTATCTGAAACGGTATCCACTAAACATTTTATATCTCAATTTGTGAAGAAACTTACCGTTTTATTCCGTCGTTACTTGTCTTCTTTCAGTTGTCTTCCTACCAAACGACGCGAAGCAGATACTCAGACATCAACTGGTCCATTCAAAACCGAAACTGTGAAGTTTTAAATAACCATATTTTATATCTCAAAGAGACCGCATGCACGTGGTTTCCAAGAAAACTGGACTGACACGCCTCGAAGATTCGCATTTCCGAGAAAACCGGAAGTAAATATTTAGATCAGATGGTCAAATAAGTTGGGCTCCTTTGTACAATGTTCAATCGATATTTCAACTGAGATACCTTTAAACTAAACCCAGGTGAGTCCTTTAAACTGGTAATAAGCTATTCTTTTCTTTACTACTGAAATCTATTTAATTTCTAAATTACAATTCCCGCTATTTACCTCATATAAAGATTATTTCTCAAATCACAAACATTCTATTCATTGTTCTTTTACATTTCAAAATATGCTTTCGGGTCAATATTGTTTACTCCAGCTGGCCTACAGTTCGTCTCCCTGGTAAGCTCGATCTAAAGTAATCAAGGAAACGAATATATATCAATTGGGATCAATGATACAAAATAAAATTATGTTTTTACTTTATAGTCATGTCAAAAGACGAGAAAGCAAGATAACACTCAGTGAATATAGTCAAGAAAAGCCTGATTTTCGCTTGATTTGTATGTTTCTCCTTTATACCGGCGGTCAGGCAGTGTTCATAGGGTTTTTTCCCTTCGCTTGTTGAAACGAGTTGAATAAAAGCGATCGGAGTTTGTTAGTGGTTGACCATCACATTTTTCCTTTCTCCGTCGCAAGCATGTAGTTTGAGACCTCAAACCATAACTTTAATTTTTAATACATGCGCTGAAAAAACGATTTGAAAATAAGAAACAAGAAACTATCTTAATAAACATAGGCCTCGTGGGTTGTATGTATGTGATTCACGTTTCAATCAATTCTTATTGCCAGTTTGATAACATCAGTTTGGAAAAATCAAATTTCTAAATGTGATTTTTTATTTTGTCGCCACATGTGAAGGTAATAGCCCACGTTCGATATATTAAAATTCTAACATAACTCCGAGGCTTTCTGGTCATTTTTCTATATTTGGTTTGTGGTTTTCTTTGAGCTCAAGTCTCTTTCGGGAATTGTGAGACAATGGAGTCTTGAAAAATTTGCAATTTTGACCCTAAAGCCTCGGAGTCATGTTAGAATTTTAATATATCCAAGACAGTCTTGAATTCTGAGATCCCGGATTCCCATGCGGGGATAACCTGAGATCAGGCGTTATTTTATTTTATTATTTTATTTTTTCTGCTTTTTTGGCTCGAGAGGGAAAAAAATGCGTGAGAGAAACAAAGGGATAATAGGGAGATGGCATGATCTCAGGCTAACGCGGGGACGGCCAGGTTTCTTTCTGCGGTGGAGTTTTTTTTATATTAG